GATAAGGTGGTTCTGTTGGACCTGTTGAGGTGGTTCTGTTGGACCTGTTGAGGTGGTTCTGTTGGACCTGTTGAGGTGGTTCTGTTGGACCTGTTGAGGTGGTTCTGTTGGACCTGTTCAGTCACTTGTAAATAAATAGATTTATTCTGTTTGTACAGAAAATGTTCAGAACCAGAACCAGAACCAGAACCAGAACCAACAGACAGCTTGTTGATTCTGGATCAGAGAAATAAGTTCTGTTCAGATTGAACGGTTCTGTTTTCATGTCAGCAGCAGTTTTCCGACCCGTTTCAGTCGGACTCTGAGGTTCTGTTGTTCCTTCAGTCTGAGCTCTGCTGACTGTCACATGGTCCAAACAAGAACCGGTCCGGTTCAGACCCATCCCCCTCCGACCCACAGCACAACTGTTAGAGACCAGTGACTAGGTTCTGATCGGGTTCTGATCCAACATGTCTGACTTCCTGCAAAACAAACTGTGAAATTAGACCAAAGCAGGTCCAGAAGGACCAGAAGGACCAGAAGGACCAGCAGGACCAGAAGGACCAGCAGGTCCAGAAGGACCAGCAGGTCCAGAAGGACCAGAAGGACCAAAAGGACCAAAAGGACCAGAAGGACCAGAAGGACCAGCAGGACCAGAAGGACCAGAAGGACCAGCAGGTCCAGAAGGACCAGAAGGACCAAAAGGACCAAAAGGACCAGAAGGACCAGAAGGACCAGCAGGACCAGAAGGACCAGAAGGACCAGCAGGTCCAGAAGGACCAGAAGGACCAGCAGGTCCAGAAGGACCAGCAGGACCAGCAGGTCCAGAAGGACCAGAAGGACCAGCAGGTCCAGAAGGACCAGAAGGACCAGAAGGACCAGCAGAACCAAGACGAGTCAGTGCTGGAGACACAGGTCTGATGATCAGTAGAACCTCTCTGAGGGTTCAGTCTGACCTCTGACCTTCAGCTCTGCAGGTCCACAACCCCACATGATGACATCATCGTACCACTCTGGTTCTGGTCTGTCCCAGTTCTGGATCTGTCCCAGTTCTGGTCTGTCCCAGTTCTGGTCTGTCCCAGTTCTGGATCTGTCCCAGTTCTGGTTCTGCTCCAGTTCTGGTTCTGTCCCAGTTCTGTTCTGTCCCAGTTCTGGTTCTGTTCTGGTTTGTGTTCCTGCTTCTTGTTCTAAAGGAATGACCTTAGAACAGTGATGGAGTCAGTCTGAGCTTAGAGACATCCAACATTACATCCAACTTAACATCCAACATTACATCCAACAAAACATCCAACATAACATCCAACAAAACATCCAACATTACATCCAACATTACATCCAACATAACATCCAACATTACATCCAACATTACATCCAACTTAACATCCAACATTACATCCAACAAAACATCCAACATAACATCCAACATAACATCCAACATAACATCCAACAAAACATCCAATAAAACATCCAACAAAACATCCAACATTACATCCAACTTAACATCCAACATTACATCCAACAAAACATCCAACATAACATCCAACAAAACATCCAACAAAATATCCAACATAACATCCAACATAACATCCAACAAAACATCCAACATAACATCCAACAAAACATCCAACATTTCATCCAACAAAACATCCAACATAACATCCAACAAAACATCCAACAAAACATCCAACATTATATCCAACTTAACATCCAACTTAACATCCAACTTAACATCCAACATTACATCCAACTTAACATCCAACATTACATCCAACATAACATCCAACAAAACATCCAACAAAACATCCAACATAACATCCAACAAAACATCCAATATAACATCCAACAAAACATCCAACAAAACATCCAACATAACATCCAACAAAACATCCAACAAAACATCCAACATAACATCCAACATAACATCCAACAAAACATCCAACATAACATCCAACATAACATCCAACAAAACATCCAACATAACATCCAACATAACATCCAACAAAACATCCAACATAACATCCAACATAACATCCAACATAACATCCAACAAAACATCCAAC